TAGTCGTCCTGGTTGCACAACTTCGTGAATACACTAAAAACCACTGGGCGGCACATGTTGAAGGCATAAACGACAGGTCGACGTTCTAAGTGTTAGTAAAAGAACGATGTGAGAGGAACAGAGAGCAAACTGCAACTCTCTCAGGGTGAACAGAATGGCGCAGCTGGCAGGGCTCTTTGTCTTTGCTTTGCCTTGGGACTTGAAGTCTACACCCTGGAGCCAGCGCCTCAGGGCAGGAGCAGCCGCCCCCGGGCACTAGCCCCGCCAAGCCCCAGGAGCCACTGCCCGGGCCCCTTTACCTGGCGTCTGGAAGCTGCAGTTTTCAGGCTGCTAGTCCCCGAAAGTGCGCCCAGGCTGGTTACACAGATGTGAGGCGTGTGGCGCAGACGTGGCGCCAGCGCCCGTGGGTGGGGCTGGGTGGAGACATCTGAGCCTGGGGAGGAGGAGGCACCTGCTGCCGGCCGCCCTCAGCCACAGAGACACCCCCGACGCTCACCACCCGCCAGCCCTCCAGCCCCCAGATGGGACTGATCAGGGCAATTATTTTGTGAAGGCCTTTGTCAGTGGATTCAAAATAACCAGAAACAGTAATTATTATTATTTAGGATTCAAGTGTTAATTTTCCAGCTGAGCTGCAGCCCGGGCCTCATGCAGCCACAGGTGACGGGAAGGCGCCTGAAAGGGGTGCCTGCCAGGGACACGGGGCCAGCGGCCCTCATGCCAGGGGGTCCGGGTCTTCCCAGGCCAGCAGAGCACAGGCCCCGCCTGCCACCCACCCCAAAGGCCTGGGCTGCACAGAGCAGCCTGGCCCAGGGCGAGGCGACGCCCTGCCTATCCCAGCTGCCCAGGTCGGGCACCTTGTCCAGCTCGCTCTGCAGGCACCAGCAAGGCCGGGCCCCGGGAGCAGGCTCCCCACGGCCCGTGCGTCAACAGGAAGTGGACTCCATACTTGGAGGCCATTTCCTCGAACACACCCCGACATTTTTCACTATGAAGCCCTCAAGCATGTACAAATGGCCAAGTTGCATCACCCCCGACCACTCGGGCCCTCCTGCACCGCTCTCGGCCCTGCTGGAGGCGCCGGCGGGGCTGTGAGCGCGTCAGACCTTTGCCGCCTGGTTCCTGCCAGATCCGCCTTCCCACCAGCCCTCAGCCCCTCAGTTAATAAACTGGGGGAACCTGCCCACGGGTGAGTGGATGATCTGCCTCCATCCAGAAAGCCCAGATCCTTCTTTTAAAGCCTGTTTACCTCCACCGAATATAAAATTAAATGAGGCTTGTGCTCATTTTTCAAAAAATACACTTTTCCCAGCTGCAAAACTGTTGGCAGAGCCAACAGCAGGCACGACCCCTGGCCCGAGCTGACGTGGGCTGGGAGGCGCCCAGAGGTCCAGGCTGGGGGCGAAGCCCCCCCACGTCTAACCCGGCAGGGGGCTCACCAACCTGTGTTGACAGCAAGCCATCCCCGCCACATCGGTCCATGCCTGAAGCCTTGGCATCTCTGCCAAGTGCCCGACACCCCGGGGAATTTGAGACCGAGCGAGTCCGGCCATCCTGGAACCAGCCCTCAGGTCTGGCAGAACCAGGGAAGGTGCCGTGGGCTGTAGCGGGCGATGAAGGCAAAAAACGGAGTGGCTGTGTACCCCGGGGCCCTGGCTCTGAAGCCCAGGCAGGGACACGGGGCCAGCGGCCCGCATGCTGGGCCCTGAGTGCTGGGTGGGGCCTTGGGCGAGCCTCCCCCAGGCCCACCTGGGGTCACATGGGGGCGTCAGGTCATGCTCCCCCTCACCTCATTCACCTGCAAGCAGTCTCCGCCTGGAGCACCCGGACACCTGCCCCAACCCCACGCCCCCTGCAGCGCCCCGCCCACCAGGGGGGCCCCGCCCATGGGAGGTTGGTTCTTCTGCTGGCACAGGGGCTGCAGGGACACAGCTGTGCTTCTGCTGATGAGCGTGCACTCACACTCACACCCACACACACTAACAAGCTCTTTCCCTGAGACCGTGACAAGTAAGTGCCGCGGGAGCTCAGGGCCCCGGAGCTGAGGCCACAGGTCGGGCCCGGCGCCAGGACACAGTCATCACTCCCCGGGGAGGAACAGCGGGGGAGGTGGAGAGCCTGGGCAGGACAGAGAACCGGCTGAGCCCCTGCCAGGCCGCCCCAGCTGGCCTGCTCCTCCAGCCTGCGCGCCACGGCCCCATGGCTGGGTGAGCCGCCCCCACCACCCGTCACTTCACGCGGTGAAGGTGACGCGTGGTGGGAGAGCAAGGGGCACGGAGCCGAGCCGCTAACGTGCAGAAGCTGGGGTGCCCCTCACAGCCGGGGGGTCCCCATCCAGACCAGCCGCGGGGGGCCAGGTGGGCTGTCCACTCTCCGGCTGGCCTCTGCTCAGGCCACAGGGCGGCAGCTCCAGCCGGCGGCCTGCAGGCCCGCGGTGGCCGGTGTGCGGGCGTGTGAGCCGCCCGACTGCTGTCAAGATACAGTTCAGACATGAGGGTGAAAATACAAATTATGCTTTGAAAAAATGTGCAAGTGGTGGCAGAGTGAAAAATAACACCTAAATCAAAACAAGCGCTAGGTTGTGGGCGTGGGTGTTTTCTCAAATTTCAATTTGTCCTCGGCTGTTCCCGTATGTTCATGTAATAAGTAGTTCTGGCTAAACATTTTCATTACAGAAAATTCTAAACAAAAATAGTATAATGAACCCCCTTGTGCCATCGCCCAGCTTCAAAACTGCAGCATGTGACCCCAGCACACGCGCTTGCGCCACGCTTCAAAATACCTGATGCCGCGTCCTGGCCACATGGGGCCTGAGCTCTGGCCACAGCCCCTGCCCAGGCCATCCTGTGAAGACATGGGTGGCACTATGGTCTCTGCCCCCGGTTCCCGGGCGCCTGGGCTGGAGACTAGTCCCGAGGGCTGCCCAGCAGGGTGACCCTCTGGGGGCTACACACTGACACCCCACCGCAGTGTGGGAGGCCTGGGTTTCCTCGTCCTTGCCTACTGCCTTTGCTGTGATAGACCTTTTTTTTCAAAAGATTTATTTATTTAGGCACACAAGAACTGGGGTACAGGCCAGAGATGCAGGGTGTTGAGAGGATTCACCAGAGACAGAGTGGGGAGCAGAACAGGCAGATGGACTCGAAATACACTGCTGAGGGGAGCAGCGGGGAGACAGGAGAAGACGCTCTGCTGTGCCCTGTGCGTCAGCTCCTGGCCGGGGATCGAACTCAGGTCACAGCGGCTGCAGACAGTTGATAGCGCTGAGACTTGACCACCACCCCCACCCCCCCCCCCCCCACCCCCCCCACCCCCCCCACCCCCACCCCCACCCCCACCCCCGCACGCCACAACGCAGCAGGGGCCCTGGCTGTGTGCAGGGCTCAGCCTGGGGCCTTTCCGGAGCATCCCAGGCCCTGGGGTCGGGAGCTGCCAGAGAGCATGCTGAGGGCCGTTTCTCGCCTTCTGGAAGAGCTTGTGAAGTGCCCTCGCTCTTCTGAGTGTCTGGGGGATCTCCCCACGCCTTTGTGGGGAACAGCTTTTCTTTGTGGCAAGCTTTAAAATCACGGATTCTCTCTGCTGCGGTCATTCACCAGGCCCAGCTCTTCAGCCAGCTGCTTTTGCCCTGTTTTTCAAGGACGTTGTCCCTCTCACCTAAATGATTGAGTTTGTTGGCGAATGGTCGCCTCATTCTCGTACAACCTTTCCAATTTCGGCAAAGCTGGTAGTGCTGTTTTCTCTTTCCTTTCTGATTTTGCCCATTTGAGTTTTCCTCTTTGTATTTCTGGTTGACCCAGTGAGCAAAGTTTTGTCAGAGCTGCTGATCCTTTCCAAGAGCCAACTTTTGGTTTTGCAGATTTTCTGTAGTTTCTCATTTTCTACCTCATGTATTTCCATTCCAGGCACTGTTTCTTGCCTGACTGCTGCCCGATTTACCTTGTCTTTGTCACGCCTTATCTTCCAAGGCTGCAGCGAGGGTTTTTTCATTACTGCCGTTTGAGCCGTAAAATTCCCTCTGATCGCTGCGCTGGTCCGAGCCCACAAACCCCAGATGTTCACCCGATCACGTGTTCCCGCTTCCCTGGGATTTCATCTCGGAGCGACTGGCAGCTCAGGGGCAGCTGCCCCCCCACCGCCCTGCCTTCCCGTCTGGGGCGCGGGCTCCGACCGACCGGCCGCCCGCGGGACCCCCCCGCACCCCCCGCACCCCCCCGGCCCCCTCGGCCCCCGCGCGCCCCCCCCAGCGAGCCCCTTCCTGCACCGGCCGCTGCGCGGGTGGGGGCCCCGGGAGGGGCGGGGCCAGAGGAGGAGCGCCGGGAGGGGGCGGGGCAGGGGCAGGGCCGGGCGCGGCGGGCCGGGGAGGCGGGCGGAAGGAGGGCCCCGGGAAAGGCGGGGCGGGGCTGGGAGGAGGGGCGGGAGGCGGAGCCCCGGGGCACGGGGCGGGGCGTGGCCGCCCGCGGAGGAGGGACGGGGACGGGCCGGGGCCAGACCGGCTTCCACACCACCACCCCCCGACGCGGGGCATGCCGGGACTCGTAGTTCTCTAGGCGCCGGAACCGGCTCGTGACGCAGTCGGTGGGACAGCCGCCGCGTTGTATGCCGGGATTCGCAGTGCATGATGGGGGCGACGGCCCGCGTTGCATGATGGGACCTGCGGCCCCACGACGCCGGCGTTCGCGGGTAAATGGCGCTGGTTATACAGTCCCCGCCGTGTGCGGCCCCGCGGCTTAAGCCCCAGGACGTCGCCAGTCCCCGCGGCTGCCACGGCGCTTCTCGCGCTCCGCGCCGGCCTGTGTTTACACGCGGCCGCGCCTGCGCACGCACGCGCGTGACGTCACGCGCTCTCCCGGAAGTGGGCGCGGGCCGCAGTGGCGGGTGGAAGCCGGTGCCGGAGCGGGAACTGCGGGGCCGCCGCCGCCGCCTGGCCGAGGTCGCCCGCCCGCCATGGGCGCCGAGCCCTGAGCCGCGCCCGCCGCTGACGCGCAGCGCCCGCCGGCCCCATGGAGGCGCCGCCCGCCGGCCGCGTCCCCGCCGACGGCTCCCCGTCGGCGGCCGTGGCCGAGGTGCGCTGCCCGGGCCCCGGGCCGCTGCGCCTGCTCGAGTGGAGGGTGGCGGCGGGCGCGGCCGTGCGCATCGGCTCGGTGCTGGCCGTGTGCGAGGCCGCCGCCTCCGCGCAGCCCGCCGGGCCCGCTCCTGCCCGCGCCGAGCGCAGGCTGAGGTCGGAGCGCGCCGGAGTGGTGCGGGAGCTGTGCGCCCAGCCGGGCCAGGTGCTGGCCCCCGGGTGAGTCCCGGGGGGAGCCTGGGGGGCGCCGGGCGGGGCCCGCACGGGGGTCCCGAGCCCGAGCGGGACTCTGGGTCTGGGCGACAGCCCGGATGACGTGCGGGCCCGGAGAGGTGCTAGGGCCGGCCGGGGTCCTGGCCAGAACAGCCCCGGAGGGGCTTGGTCTGGAGGGGAGGGGCCGAGCACGGGGCAGGAAGCGGAGGAGCGGCCGTGGGATCTGGGGAGACGAGTTCCTGCAGACGTGCAACTGAAATTGCAGCCCTGAGAGAGGACAGCTGTGCCGACTCCTTCAGGAAGGGGGTCCCCTCCCCGGGACCAGCGTTTGTAATTGAGGTAGCCCTGAGGGCAGTGAGTACAAGAAGGGGTGCAACCTGGCAAGGGTAGTTCAGCTGTGTCTCCTGGCGGGGCTCTCCCGGTCAGTACCTGCGTCTCAGCCTCATAAAGGGCCTTGTTGTGAAGCTTGTGGGTGTGCGTCTTGACAGCTGCTGTGGGCTCTGGGGCTGGGTTGACATGGGGTGACCCACGTAGCTGTTGTGGTGTTGGGAACAGGCACCAGGGCAGGTGAGTGGCCATGGTAGCAGGTCCTCTGCCGGCCACCTGTTCCCCTCACCCCAGTGCGAGACCCTCCAGTGCTGAGTGTCTGCTCGTCCTTGGGAGGCGTCTGGAGGTGTGCCTTCAGCGGGAAACTGGTGGGGCAGGCACTGGCTGGGGCTTCCTTCAGAAAGATGGGGCTGGCTGTGGCCAGGCCTGCACCCGTGTCCCTCAGTACTCTTAAGTCCCCTCTGCCTGTCCGCCATGGGGCCTGCCGCGCCTGTAGGACTGTCAGCTGAGAGTGGTGTGGCGGCCTGTGGTGGGCCTTGGCAGCCCAGGATCTGACCTGTGGACGGGTCCTAGTGAGTGGGGCTCTTGCTGGGGCTGACACGAGCCTCGATGGATGAGGTGACCCCCACAGTGAGGGGGCTACGCTTGGCTGCAGTGGTCTCAGTGGTGTTGGCTGCAGTGCGGCTGGGGCCGCACCTGACAAGTGTGTTGATCTGAAATGGAGTCGCCTATTCCCCTGTGCTTGGTTCTCTGTAGAGGCAGGAACTCCATCCGCTCCAAGGAAGGAGCTTGGGTCCAGGAATTCGGGGCACCCTCTGCCAGGTGGGCTCAAGGGCCCTGCTGTTCTTGATGCGCTGGGCTCATTCCCGGTGGTTGGCCTTGGTGTGCACAGTGCCCGGATGTAGCCAGTGAGCCCAGGGGCGGTCTGCCCCAACCCCAGGCCTGAGGGCGTCCTGGCGCTTCGGCCCCTTCCCTGGGAAGCCCTGTTCCCCCAGTGGGGTGCACCCTGCAGAAGCTGGCGGGGGGCACAAGCGGCCCCTGACTCTCCGTCTCCCTTAGGGTACAGGCACGAGCAGGGCCAGGTTTGGATGCTCCTGTTTTCAGGAAAGCAACTTGTGTAGAAACTGTAAATCATGATTTTCTCCAGGGAAAGCAGAGAGGTCAACGCTGGTGGCTGGCATCTGGGCCGGGCTGGTGGGGAGGGTGCCGCTGGCGTCCCCCCAGGCAGTGCTGCGGGGTGCTGAGCCGCAAACTTGGGTGTCTCTGCCTGCCCCGCCCTGCGCATGTCTGCAAAGACAGGGGGCTCCAGCACTCGTTTGGCCTGGTGCTTCCTACAACTCCCTTCCCTCCTGCACCATCCACTCTCTTAGGGGCCGTTTCGGCCCACAGGGAGGCACGGGAGGAGGCCTGGGCTGCGCACTGACTTGGGCCCTGCAAAGCGCTTCTCGGCTCTTTGCCCGCTTCCCTAAGTGGGCTGTCTCTGCGCTGCTGGGCTGGGACCTCGTGTGGGAGAGGACCATGATGACAGCCCTGGGACTCGAGGCAGTCACGGTCCCACTGAGGGGCCCAGGGTCTGCCCAGCACCGAGCCGGCCTCTCCTCCATCTTCAGCAACACAGGAGCTCCAGAAACGGAGTGTGCGCTCCAGGGACTGACCATCTGGTTTTATTTCCTGGCTTCGCCTTCCCAGAGTCGGTCAGCGGGCGGCAGGGGTGCTAGGGGCCCCGTGCTGCTCACTCCTCGCCCACCTCGGGCACCCCGCGCCCGGGGGTATCCGGTGCTCGCCATAGAGCCCATGCGCCGGGCCTTCTCACTGCCCCCTTCTGCCCCCCGTGGTGGGGCTGCCCTGAAGCAGGTCCACTGTAGTCACCCTCACCCTGGCCCCACCGGTCTCATTGCCCGGGTAAGAGCTTTCTTACCGGGGACACAGGAAGTTGAGTAAGTCGGGCTGCATCACGATCAAAACTCGGCCTGCAGAAAACCCTTCGGGGCTGGGGCCGGGCACTCACTTCCTGTTCGTGTTTGGGGGACGTTGGTCAAACCCCAGCCTACAGTTGTAGTTTAAAGTGTGTGACGAGAACACGCACCAACTGCCTGCCCGCGCCTGCTGGGCCCTTGGAGGGACCTCAGCAGCTGCCGCTTTGGGTGTGCCCTGCGTGTGCTCGGCACTGGCGGCCTCAGAATCACAGTGCTGGAAGCATCGGGCCATGGCCGTCGGTTGTCAGGCTGTCCAGCGGGTCTGTGCCTGTCGCACCCAGCCCGGCATCCCAAGGCTCGGCCTCTCCAGCGGCCGGGGCTGGGGGAGGACCGCGTGAGGTGACAGCTGGATGTGGCCTCGGACTCTGAGAATGGGCCCAGGTCCTTTGCCCGGTCCACCCTGCAGAGAGCCCCGCGGCCCTCTGGCCCCTGTGCCGTGGTCCCCGGCTGCTTTGCGTCGGTGGCTCTGCCTAGGCAGGCGGGGCACCCCAGTTGAGGGTGGCAGGGTCGGTGGGCGTGGATTGTGTCTGGGAGGCGAGGCACTGGGGCATGCCTCCCCTGTTTCCCAGGGGTCCCCTTAAGTCTCCAGGGAGTCAGGAAGGCGCCGCCCTCCCGGCAGGCAGGGGCCTTGGCACCCCAAGTGCGTGGCTGGCTGTCCACCTCCAAAGGCTGCCGCAGGGCCGCCGTGTGGACGGGAGCCTACAGGAAGGAGCGGCGTGTACGTCCCAGGAAAGCGGAGCGTTGCCTGAAACGTGCAGCTCTTGGCTCTCCCTCTGGGTGGGAGCTGGCTCCCAGGGGTGGGGAGGGCAGTGAGAGGACCACTGCTAAGAGCCGCGGCCCCCGACGCCCGTGCCGCCCCGAGTGCACGCCCCATGCCGTGCGGCTCACCGCCCGCTGCTGGTAACCGTCTGTCTCCGCCAGGGCCGTGCTGGCGCGCCTGGAGGGATGCAGCCACCCGGTGGTGATGAAGGGCCTGTGCGCCGAGTGTGGCCAGGACCTGACCCAGTGAGTGCCGCGTGCCCCTGCTCTGTTCTCTGGCTTTGGAGGGCACCGGGGTCTATCTGGGGCTCCCCCGGGGCAGGGGGTGGTTCGCAGCAGTCATCCAGCCCCTCACTCGGGGCCCAACCTGCCGTGTGCCTTGCGGCATCCGCCAGCACCTCGCCCGGCTGTGTGCCTCAGACGCCGCCACCTCGCGGCCCCTCTCGCCCCAGGCTGCAGAGCAAGAACGGGAAGCAGCAGGCCCCGCTGTCCACGGCCACTGTGTCCATGGTGCACAGCGTCCCTGAGCTGATGGTGAGCTGTGAGGTGAGTCCCGCGAGGCTGACGGGGGTGGGGGCGCCCAGGCTGGAGGGGCCGCAGGAAGGTCGCCCTGCTCTCCTCCGGGCCTCGGCCCTGGTGTTTCTGTGCTGCTGAGCTTCCGACAGACGGAGCGTGTGTGGGCAGTGCACCCACACCTGCCCACCCCCGCTCAGTGTCTGGGACCCGCCCGGTCACGTCGGGGGGCTGCCCCGGGACCCTGGCCGTGCCTGCTCTCACAGCCTCCCCTGTCGGCCGGCGCTCGGTGCAGCTCCACGCTGCGGCGCCTGTCTGAGCGCGTCGCGTCCCTCATCTGCCCCCTCTTCCCGCAGCAAGCCGAGCTCCTGGGGCGGGAGGACCAGCAGCGGCTGCACCGGGACCGGAAGCTGGTGCTCATGGTGGACCTGGACCAGACCCTGATCCACACCACGGAGCAGCACTGCCCACAGATGTCCAACAGGGTGGGTGGCGCCCAAGCCGGAGAGGACGGTGCGGGGGAGCCGGGTGTGCTGGGGGGAGTCCTTTGACTCTTTCCGTCTGTAGTTCTCTTGGAGGGGAGAAAGCGAGGGCCCCGGACATGGCCGCGGAGCCCTGAGTGTGCGTGTCTGTGCACTGCTCCCACTCCGGCCGCGCCTCAGCTCCTGGCGTCTGGGGCGGGTGTGGGTGTCCGGGCCAGCCTTGAAGCCCCGGGCACAGGCCATCCGGGCACGCCGTGCGTGTTGTCGGGGAGAGATACGGCTGTCACCCGACAGCCTGCGCCCAAGTCGTGCAGTCTGCGGGGCAGCTCCCCCTCAGCATGTGCCAGCCTTGGGCCCGTCAGGAGGCGCTGGGGCGGGCGGTGGTGCTGCCAGGAGCCCTTCCCGCCTGTGATGCCAGGCGTTCCCAGGAAGGGGCACAGGGGCAGCTGCCGGGAGCCGGCCTGGCCTGGGGTGCGCCGGGTGGCTCTGTGCTCACCCTGGCGGGCGCCGTCTCCCCACACCACCCACAAAAGCTGCGTCTGTGCAAGGATCTGGGTCGGGCCTGCTTGTGCATCCCGCGTGTCTGACAGTCTCTGAGCGGCTCCGCCCTGCCTTTGACGGGGGCGTTGTGCCAGCTTTACGAGCGCATGAGCTCGTCCTAGAGTGCCCTTTCTCAGCCCGTGGCCCGCGATGAGCTCGCGCCAGCCGCCCCCAGGCCCCTGCCCCAAGGCCCGTCCGGCCGAGCCCCGCAGCTCAGGCTTTTGCAGGGCGTGTGCGCCCAGCCTCTGGACTTTGCCCCTATGGGCCAGAGTGAAAATCAGACTTCGCTGCTTGAAAGAAACAAGTAAGCTGCGTAGGAGAAGAAACTGCACATCCCGTGGCTGGTCACGCTGGCGAGGAGGCCGCTCAGCCCAAGGGCCTGTCACCGTCTGCCCGAGCCCCGCCCCCCAGAGCGTTTTGGCTCAGCCGCTGCTGTGTGGGGCTGCTTGCTGGCCCTGGAGGCGCCGCCCTCGCGTCCGCTCTCAGCACCGTCCCCGGAGGCACACGGGTCCGTGGGCTCGTCTGCTGCGGCACAGCCGGCATCTTGGTGCGGCCGCCCTCCTGGGCCCTGCAGAGGTCACGTGCGGTGGCTGTGGCGATGGAGGCACTACCCGCAGGCGGTCAGCCATGGCGACTGGGCACTGCTGGGGGTCACTGCTGGCCCTGCAGCAGAGGCCATGCTGCTCCCAGCACCTCAGGGGTGTCTGCCTGGCGGGTCAGTGGCCTGCCTGGACCTGGCGTGGGGCCAGGGGCGGGCATGGGGTGCTGACGGGGTCCCTTTTTTCAGGGCATCTTCCACTTCCAGCTAGGCCGGGGTGAGCCTATGCTGCACACCCGCCTGCGGCCGCACTGCAAGGGCTTCCTGGAACGGGTGGCCCGGCTGTACGAGCTGCATGTCTTCACCTTCGGCAGCCGGCTGTACGCACACACCATCGCAGGTGAACCCATGCCCCTCGCGGCAGGCGGTCTCCTGGGGCCAGGTGGGGCCGGGGCAGGCAGAGGGCAGCTCAGGAGGGGCCAGGCTGGCCCTGGCTGCAGGGTGGGTGCTGAGGCGGGAGTGGTAGGCAGGTACACGAGGCCATGCTGGAGCCAGCTGCTGCGGAGGACGGGGCGGGGCAGCCCGCAGGCCTGTGTCCCCTGTCCACGAGGCAGCCAGGCTTCCCCCCGCCCCTCAGAGACAGGCTGCCTCGTTCACTAGCTCCCAGGTCCCGCAGGTGAGGTCCAGCCTCCCCTGTCTAGGCGGTGCTGCAGGTGGCATGACGTGCAGGAGCTGTTGTGGGCCGGCACCCGGAGGCGGCACCAGCGTGGTGCTGGGTGCTGATCCCCAGTGAGCACCCACTGCCCAGCTCAGGGCTGTGTGACCTTGTCCCCTGCTCTTTCCACAGGCTTTCTGGATCCTGAGAAGAAGCTTTTCTCTCACCGGATCTTATCGAGGGACGAATGTATCGACCCGTTTTCTAAGACGGGGAACCTCAGGTGTGTGCCCCGTGGCACAAGGTGCCACCCCGTTGCCCCGGCCCCGCACCCACCTGGCCCTGGAGCGGCGAGCCTGGGCCCTCCTTTCCACGCCTGCCCCCTCTGGGGCCCTGTGTGTGCGGAGGCCCTGACCGGCGGTGGGGACGACAGCCTGGCGGGCCTCCCAGGGCTGCGCTGAGCCAGGTGGCCACTGCTGCTCGCATCTCCACCTCGGCAGGGCCTGCCCGGGGTCGGCCTCTCGGGCTGTGTTTTCTCGGGGCCTGTCTGGGCGCCCGGGGCTCCATCACCCGAGGCCTCCTGTCCTCGGTGCTTCCACACCGAGGAGAGCCTTTCCTGCTCCTGCGGGGCCCTGCAGCAGCATTGCCCCACTGCTACCTGGAGGGAGCCGCTGCGTCCCGTCCCTCCGCAGTGAACTGTCCCATGGACATGGCTCCTAGGAGGTTGGGTGGTGGCAGCTGTGGTCTCGTAGTCTTTGTTCAGTGCGGCCGTCCTCCTCCAAGACGGCTCACGTCAGACTCGCGCATCCCCGGAGGGGACCTGCCCCAGCTTATGCCAGCGGGGGAGAGCCTGGCCGAGGTGCCCCATGCGGGCGAGCAGCTCGGATGGCCATGATGGACCTGGGGCGGGGCCGGGGTTGGTGCAGGAGACGCAACTCTTAGCTTCCCTGGACCTGAACGTGCGGATGGCACTGGGGGCGCGAGGCCTGCAGCTCTGCTGCTTTTGGGGGGTGTGGGTTCATGGGCGACAGATGCAGTTTTGACCCCTTGTCTGGGTGGCCATGGCCCTCATCAACTCTTCCTGCGCGCTGGGCATCAGGTCTGCCTGAAGCTCAGTTGTGGACGGTCAGGTGGACGAGGCCACTAGAAGGAAGCAGAGGGTCCGTGGCACTGGGTGTTTCCTTGGACGTGTGTTAGCGAGTCCCCCACCTCTCGCACGCACACACAGCAGGCAGGTTGCTGGGGTGGCTGGGGTCAGCAGGCCCCCCCCCCCCCGCCTTCTACGCCAAGCCCCTCAGTGCGCAGATGGGGCCATGCTGGGACCTGGGCGCACCCCTTCATGCACTCCGCACCCCCGAGGCCCTGCAGCAGTTTGGGCTGGCGTCACTGGAGCCCGCATGGGCCAGCCCCTTCCGGCCAAGTTGCGGTCACCAGGGGGAGGCCACCGTGCCCTTCATGGGCAGCTGCGTCCCGCAGACCACACCATGCTCTGTCCCTGCAGGAACCTCTTTCCCTGCGGGGACTCCATGGTGTGCATCATTGACGACCGGGAGGATGTCTGGAAGTTCGCTCCCAACCTGATCACCGTGAAGAAGTACGTGTACTTCCAGGGTGTCGGCGACATCCATGCGCCGCCCGGGCCGCGCGGGCCCCCTGCCAGGAGGAGAGGTGGGTGACCGCCCATGCCCTCCCCTGCCCTGGCGTCCGGCTTCTCCCCGCTGGGCGCTGGCCCGGACCTCATGCCTAGCTGAACATGCAGAGGGAGGGGCTGGGCTCCGTGCTCCTAGAAGCGCCCGCGCGAGGCCGGCCGTGGCCCACGCAGGTCCCCACAATGGTGGCCCTTCCCTGGGCTGGCACCTGGGAGAAGGCAGGTCCCCGGGGCCACATCTGTCTTGGGACGGTTTTTCTGCTGGCTTAGCTGCGCCTGGCGTGCTTTAGCTTTTGCATGAAAGGCTTTGAGGCTACAGCCCCTGGACGAGGCACAGGCCAAGAGGTGCTGCTGTGGCCACTGAGTCCAGGCCTGGCCGAGTGCGCCCACCTGGCCCCAGCCCACCAGAGCATCCTGTGCCCTCTGAGAGGTGGGGAGACCGAGGCAGGGCGGTTCGTGGCCTTGGCAGAGGGTTTGCCAGCCTGGTCCGTGGTGCGGCCAGATCCATACGCCCACGCAACCGCGTGTCCCCGTGAAGGGCTCCCTGCCACCGAGTGACGCTGCCGCTTCTCTCGTGTGCTCACGTAGTGAATCATCCCGCTAAGGCAGCCGACGCCACGGAGCCAGCCGCGTCCCCCAAGGGCCCCGAGGAAGGACGGCAGGCGGCTGCGGCCGAGCAGAGTAACGGCCTGGAGAAGCCCCCGCGGGACTGGCCTGCTCAGGCCGAGGAACGGGGCGCCCGGCCTGGCGTCCGGGCCCCAGTGGTCGACGGCCGGGGGCCACCGGGGTGCGCGCAGCAGCACGGGCGGACACTCGCAGAGGAGCGGCCGGCCCAGGCCGGGCAGGGCAGCGACCTGCACTTTGACTTGTCCAGCGACAGCGAGAGCGGCAGCGAGTCCGAGGGGCAGTCCTCCACCGCCTCCGACGCCGAGAGCGCGGAAAGGAGGGCCCGGAGGCGGCCCCACGCCGCCAGAGAGCCGGGCGGCGAGCGGCCAGGGGTGAATCACTGCGGGGAGGACGGGCAGGACGAGCGGGACGGCCTCTGCGGGCTGGCGGGCGGCTGTGCTGACCGGAAGGAGGCGGAGACCGAGTCCCAGAACAGCGAGCAGTCGGGCGTGACGGGCGGCGAGTCCCTGGACCAGAGCGTGGAGGAGGAGGAGGAGGAGGAGGACGCGGACGCGGACGACCACCTGGTGCACCTGGAGGGCATCCTGGCCCGCGTGCACGCGGCCTACTATGCCCGCTACGACCGCCACCTCGGCGGGGACCTCCCGGAGGCCCCCGACATCCGCAAGATCGTGCCCGAGCTCAAGAGCAAGGTGCTGGCCGACGTGGCCATCGTCTTCAGCGGGCTGCACCCCACCAGCTTCCCCGTGGAGAAGACGCGGGAGTATTACCACGCCACGGCGCTGGGCGCGCGCATCCTCACGCAGCTGGTGCTGGACCCTGACGCCCCCGACAGGCCCACCCACCTGGTGGCCGCCCGGGCCGGTAGGTGCCCCACCCCCGCCCACCCGCACCCCGCGCACCTTTCTGAGCCGTGGGGGCAGGACAGAGGCTGGGGGAGCTCCCTCCCAAACGCCCTCGGCCTGAGGGACCCCGGTACTGCCGAAAACCCCACCCCAGGGGGTCAGCCTGGGGCTCACGCTGGGGCTGGGAGGCAGCGGGCAGCGCAGTCTTGGCCGTGGCTATGGGTGTGGAGGGAGGACTCAGTGGACGAGGACCTGCACCTGGGGGCGTCCATGCTGGGGACAGCGGCAGGCGTGTGCAGGGGTGGCGGGAGGAGGGCGCCACAGGTGGAGACAGCACGGCCGAGGGCGGGGTGTGGGCAGTGCTGGGCTGCCCCAGGGTCAGCAGAGGGGCTGGTGGATGCTAGGCTCGGGCCCTGAGAGGCGGGGCCTGGGCATGCATGGAGGGGGAGGGTGTCCACACCTCCTCCCTGGCTGAAAGTGACCCCACAGCACCCCGGGGCCGGTACGTGTAGGGGCTGCAGGACAGGGGAGCTCACCAGGGGTGGTGGGGTGCTGAGGTGCGGGAGGCCGGAGGTCTGAAGGGGCAGGCGCCGCCCGCTGAGCACGGAGTCCCCACAGGCACGGAGAAGGTGCGGCAGGCCCAGGAGAGCGGCCGGCTGCATGTGGTCAGCCCTGACTGGCTGTGGAGCTGCCTGGAGCGCTGGGACAAGGTGGAGGAGCGGCTGTTCCCGCTCCGGGACGATGGCGGCCGCCCACAAAGGTGAGCCCACAGGCCGGCCCTACCCTCCGCAGCGCCAGCCCCCCGAGCTCACTGCTCAGAAGCACAGAGGAGCCGCGATGCCTTTTCCTACAAATGCAAGTGGCTTCTGACGCGTGTCTCGGCGACAGCCGGGCCATAAGAGAAGCACGGAAGGTTTCTCGGCCCCAGGGGGTGAGGGAGGCTGTGGCGTGGGGGTGGGGCTGCCGTCTGGGGGTCGAGGCCTGAGACGGTGTCGGGCCTCACCTGGCCTCACCTGGCTCTCGCCCACAGGGAGGACGGCCCGGCAGCCTTTCCCGACCGGCAGGGCGCTCTCCCGCCTGCCTTGTTCCACCCCACGCCCGTCCACCCCCGGGTCCCTCCTGGCCCTGACGTCAGGATCTACGACGCCAACACGGGCAAGCTGATCCGGAAGGGGGCCCCAGGCCCCGGGCCCCCCGGAGCCCTGCCCAGCCACGGGGAGCACTCCTCGTTCAGGTACATGGCGCGAGCGGTCCTCACAGGCAGGGTCCTCCTGAGGTGGCCTAGTGGGGTGAGGAGGCATGGGCCAAGGATGCCCCCCCACCCCCAACTGCTGCCCTGGCCTGGGGATGGTGTCCTGCAGCCCACCCGAGCTCTCCGGAGAGTCGGGGCACCTACAGGCCTTCCCCATGGAGGGCAGCCCCTTGACCGCCGTGGGCATGTGCATGAGGTGTCCGGCTGTGGGTTGGGTCCTGGCGGGCGGCACCAGCGACCCTTTCTCTGAAGTGACGCAAGATCCGGGCCCCAGGGGTCGGGGCGGCCCCTGCTGCTCATCCCCGGCCCTTCCCAGGCAGGGTCACCCCCACGGCCGGTTGTCCTCACTTCTGCAAACACGGCCACTCTCGTCCCCTGGCCACCTGCCCGGTCCCTGTTGGTGGCGCAGACCGCGGCTGCCGCACAGGCAGGGGCGCCTGTTGGGGCTCGCCTTGGGGCTGTCGCGTGGGTTCCCTGCAAACTGTTTTTTAGATCTTTAACTTACACCGTTGGGGGTGGGGAGCCAGCACTCTGGCTGCACAAGAGCTGGCCGCAGCTCCGCCGAGATGCAGCCCCAGAGGGAGGCAGGCGGGCCTGGTGGGGGGGTGTAGGCGGGAGGCCAGGCTTCAACAGTCCCGGAGGGAGGCGGGCGGGCGTGGGGCATCAGGGGGCCACCAAGACGCAGCCCCCAGAGGGAGGCGGGGGGGGGGTGGTGTGGGGTGGGTGGAGGCTGGGCTGGGCCGGGCCGGGAGAAGCACAGCCGAGGCCCCAGCACCATGCTGGGGCTGCCCGGGCAGGACCCTGAGACACAGCCTTCCACGCGGTGACCGTCCCGGTTGCTTGCGTCTCTGAAGCGTAGACCGTAAGGTGTGTTGTCTTCAGCCGGATGTTCGGGAGCTAGAGACGCGTTGTTTAATTTGGAGCCTTTAATCGTTCAGCTGACACGGCGGCGTGGGCGGGGGCTTCTGGGAGAACAGGGTGGCCAGGTGCAGGCGGCCAGCGGGGCCTCACGGACGTGTCCGCCCCAAGGGGAGCTGCGAGAGCGCAGCGGGCAGGAGCATGTGCTGTGCTCTCCTGCCGGGACGCCGGCTCCAATGTGAAGGTGTGTCCCCCTGGATAGCAGCAGCCCCTGGGGTCTGAGGGAGGCGCCCCACCCTGCCCCTCTTCCCCCCAGCGCAGGTTCCAAAGTCGATGGTTCTGATTCCAAGATAATGCAGGGATCAACTAGCCAGAGGAAGGAAGCCCCTAACGAGCGCAGCATGCCCTGGGGTGCCCCCCCCAAAAAGGGTCGGATGCCTGTCCCACCCACCCTTGCCCCACGGCGCCGGCCTGTTCTGTGCCCGGAACCCTGAGGGCCCTATTGTGACAGGGCGCCTGGCGCTGCGGGTACAGCAGCGGCCCGGGACCCCAGGTCTGGCTCCCGTGGGATGTGGTGGTCGGGCGCGGGCCAGCTCTGGACACGCGGACGTGTGCCGGGAGCCCTGCCGTGGGCACATCTGGGGAGGCCGGCCCAGGGGCACCTGTGGGCGTGCAGGCCTGGGAAGGGGGCCTGAGCCAGCCCCATTGGTCCCTCCGCCCTTCCTGCGTGTGGGTGGTGTGAGCCTGCGCTGAGTTAGGGTTTGGGCTGACGGGACCCGGGGCAGCTATGGGAACTAGCACAGGGCGGCCCAGGCCCGCGGCAACGGGTGCCCCCAGCCACCCGCGAGAGTCGTGTCCAGCCCTGTCCATGCTCCTGCCCCGCCCAGAGAGCCATGGACACCAGCCATGGGGCGCGGACCGCACTGCTGGGTCGTGCTCCGTGGCAGGTGCGGCTTGGCGGCTTCTTGGGGTGCTCCCAGCCCTGCCTCTGCGGTGCAAGTCCCCTTTCCCTGGGAAGTGACAGGGCACCCCACTGAGCCGCAGGGTCTCTCCTCAGCTCTTCATAAACCGCGCGCTGGCACCAGCGTCCTGGCAGCCTCTGCGCCATCACGCTGGCACAGGGGCCAGACATTGCTCCAGGCCCACGGCGCTTGTTCATCCCTCGTGCACGTTCCGTGCGCCTGACGCTCCCCGGCCCGTGGCCCGCTAGCCCTTTCTGTGGCCGTCTGCCTCTTGGAGCCTCGGCCAGTCACCCGTCAGCCACTGGCCTCGCGTGCGCAGGGTCCTGCTGGGGCACACGGCCTGCTCATGGGCTGGAACGCGTCTGCCCCTCTGCTCCCAGGGCCCGCTCCACGGTGGGGTTGGCCTTGACTGGTGAGCGGGTCCTGCCCTCTCCAGTCTGCACTGCCAGTGGCTGTGGCTTTCCCGAGGTCCGGCCGCCCCGGCGGGTGGGGCTGCCCTGTCCCGTCTTGATGGGACTTGGGCATCACCGGACATGGCGGGGCCGGTGCTGACCTCGTCGGCGGGGCCGGGCACCTCTGCCCTGGCAAGGAGGGGGTCGGCGGCTGTACCAGGCACCCACCCACAGTCCAGCCCGGCCTTCCTCACGGGGCCTGCGGGTTCCTTGCAGAGCCGTGCAGCCCCCGCAGCAGCAGCAGCAGCAGATGTTCGCGGAGGAGCTGCCCGACGGCCGGGACGGGGAGCAGCCCGGGCCCTGCCGGCGGAAGCGCCAGCCCAGCCTGTCGGAGACCATGCCGCTGTACACGCTGTGCCGCGAGGAGCTGGAGAGCATGGACCGCGAGGTGGGCGCGGCCCCGCCCCCCCACCAACCGCCCCCCCGCTGCTCCCCCGCAGCCCCGCCCCCCGCGTCCACCACCAGGCGGCGCCCTCAGGGAGGGGGGCTCAGGACAGGGACGCAGCTCTGGGGGCCGGTCAGTCAGGTGACACCTCACACACTACACACACCCCCACACGGATCACAACCCCACACATACACACCACACACCACAAACACACTCCCCCACATGGATCACAGCCCCCCACATACACACCACACGCACCCACACAGATCACAATCCCCCACATGCACACCACAAACTACAAACACACAGTCCCCCACACGGATCACAGCCCCCCACATACACACCACAAACACACTCCCCCACATGGATCACAGCCCCCCACATACACACCACACGCACCCACACACACCACACGCACCCCCACACGGATCACAATCCCCCACATGCACACCACAAACTACAAACACACAGATCACAACCCCACACAGACACACCACAAACACACTCCCCCACACGGATCACAGCCCCCACATACACACCACACACACCTCTACACGGATCACAGCCCCCACATACACACCACACACACCCCCACACGGATCACAGCCCCCACATACACACCACACACACCCCCACACGGATCACAGCCCCCACATACACACCACACACACCTCTACACGGATCACAGCCCCCACATACACACCACACACACCTCCACACGGATCACAGCCCCCACATACACACCACACACACCTCCACACGGATCACAGCCCCCACATACACACCACACACACCCCCACACGGATCACAGCCCCCACATACACACCACACACACCTCCACACGGATCACAGCCCCCACATATACACCACATGTATACCACACACAAACTACACACACCCCCACACGGATCACAGCCCCCACATACACACCACACACACCACACATATACCACACATACACACCTCACACACCACACACACCCCCACACGGATCACAGGCCCACACATACCACACACCACAAACACCCACACCCCACCTCACATACACCACACACGCACCCCAAATACCTCACACAGCATACACACCACATACACCACACACGCGTACCACACACAGCTCACATACCACATCACACGCACACCACATACATACCCCACACACATCACATACAACGTATCCCACACCAGACACGCATCGCATCCCACACACAACACATATGGATCACATACACACACACCCCCCAGACATCACACCAGGCATGGTTCACACCACACATACACACGCGGATCACATCCCACACGCACACACGCCACCCCGTTGCCCATTCCCTTCCTGTGGACTGCACGGCTCTCCCCCCCCAGGTGGACGACATCCTCGGGGAAGGCAGCGATGACAGCGACAGCGAGAAGAAGCCACCCGAGGAGTCGCAGGAGGGGGGCCCGCAGCGCAGGGAGTCCCAGGCCACAGGCGCCCCGGGGGGGCCCCACTGCGCAGGAGCTCAGCCAGTGGGCGCGGCACTGGGGAAGGCCGCGCGCCCAGGTAGGCCGGAGAGGGCAGGGGCACATCCCGACCCAGCCATCCACACCCCAGAGCACTGCCCGCCCCATGGGCGGGGTCTTCCCCGCCCGGCCCCGCGCCACCCGGAGCCCACCCGGTCTCCCCTGCCCGGCCCCACGCTGCCTGGAGCCCACCAGGCCCAGCCAGCAGCAGGCGGCACCTGTGCGGGCGTCTGCTCGACGGGGCTCGGCCTTCCTGCCTACAGTCACGGCACCCCCTGCTCTGTGAGGGGGGACTGTCGGAGGCACCCCCAGATAGGCCCCAAGAGGGTGTGAAAGAAATGGAGGATGTGGCCACCTCGGGCAGTCCAGGCCAGATGGGCCAGAGCCCAGCGGCGGGGGGCAGGTAGGGCCACTGCTCTCAGGCGCCTGGGGGCTGAGGGTCCAGGTGCCCTGTGAGGAGATGACCCGGCCGGGCTCACGTCCTTGCTGACCCACGGGCATGAGGGGCACACCTGCCAGGGGTGCTCTGGCCTGACCCCCGGCGGGCACGGTGTTGGGCTCAGGTGCGCTCCCAGAGCAGAGGCGGGCAACACGTGGGGTGACCCGGCCTCGAAGATGGTGTCACTAACAGGACTGGGCAGTGGTGTCGGCAGCCGGGGGCGGGGCCGGCAGGCAGGCAGTGGACACTTCCAGGAGCGGGAGAGACTGGCCAGGCAGGCACTCAGAGACGGGTTCGTAGCTCAGCGCCCCAGCTGGCCGTTCCTGCCCCTCCTGCTCCGCAAGGAGCGGCCCGAGGGCCCAGCGGGGCAGCAGCGGTGTCCGGCCGGCCCACCCAGCCCGGGACAGGTGGGAGCAGGAGCCCACGCGAAGCCTGGGCGCACCACCGAGGGGCTGGGGACGCAGACCGCGGTCCTGGCAGGGCTCTGATGGCCGGCTCGCGAGGGCTGGCCGGGTGGACGGGTCTGAAGCTCGGGGCGGCAGAGGACGCAGGTCCCGCAGGCGCCGTGCTGCCTGCCCCGGCCTCCTCCCCAGCCCGTGCTTCCCTTTCAGAGGCCACAAGAGGAAGCTGAGCGAGGAGGACGCCGCCAGCGCGTCCAGCGGGGAGTCCAGCTGCGGGGACGAGGAGGGCAGCAGCTCGGAGGCGGACGAGATGGCCGCGGCCCTGGAGGCAGAGCTCAGCGACCTCATGTGACGCGGCGGCCTCGCCGGCCCCTGCTCTCGCTCCCGAGGACGGGTGTGTTTTGTGGAGCCCACACCGAGACGCGCTATTTTGCAGAAATAGGTGTTTTTAAGCAACCTCGCCCAGGGAGCCGCTCCGGTGACGGTGTTCGGAGGCTGTGCCACCCACGCCAGCGGGCCGCGCGGGGCCGTCCTCAGGGACCACGGCCAGCGGCGGAGGCTGTGGAGGGCCTGTGTGGGCACCCCTGAGGCAGCAGCACATCCCGCCTCATGGCCACCGCCCGCCGAGCCCGGCTCCCGCGCGGCCTGGACGCCGCAGGCCAGACGGCCCCACGCTGGAGGCTCCTGAGGGCAGATGTAAAGTTTTGTATGTCTATTTCCTACTTGACTGCCAGAGTTCGCCCATTTAATAAAGGCCTTTTTGTAAGCACCGCGCGTGGTGTGTGGGGCTCGCCCCCTCCAGAGCCCTCGGGTGCGGCCTGGGCCTGGGCTGGAGCTGGAGCCCAGCTGACTGCGGGGCTGGAGGGGGACGGGACGAGAGAGGAGGGCTGGCCCTCCATCTTGGAGCCAGGTGGGGTGTTTCTCAGAAGCTTGCGCCCCTGCCCAGTCCACCACAGCCTAGCAGCCAGGCAAGGGGGGTGGGGGCTGCCAGGGGACCAGGGCCAGTGTGGGGGTCAGGCCTGACGTCCCAGCAGTCCGTACCGCATGGCACCCCAGGCTCTCCCAGTCCGCAGAGCCCAGCCCAGCAGGACGGCCGCCACAGCCATGGCTGACCATGGGCCTGTGCTCCAGGCCGTGCTGCCAAGAGTGGCCAGGCCTGAGCTGGGGTGGACGCGGCAGGACCTGCAGAGGCCGGGAGAGTGGCCGGTGGCTTCTCGGGACCCACGCACTGGGTCTGGCCCCAGCTGCAGGGTGACCCGGCCAGGGGGCCTCACACCAACACCCCACTGCTCTGGCTGCGCAGAGCCGCATGCACGCAGCTGCGAGTGTGCAGACGCGCGTGAAATCCCACGCTGGCGAGCGCGGTCCACACACAGCATACCCTGCTCGCACGCCGCACCCCGGGGCCCGCACCCCGAGGAGGGGGCCAGGATGCCCCACGTCCTCCGGGCCCGGCCTGGGTTGAGCCCGTGGACAGGCGGCACCGCGAGGCCGGACATTTCCAGACGGGGCGGGGCGTCCCGCAGGGGCCGCGGCTGCCGCGGGCGCGGGGCGGGCAGCAGCTGTGGGCCGGACCCCGCCGCCAGCCGCGCCCGCCCACGCCCCAGCCCGCCCGCTGCCGCCTCCGCGGCCCCGGCCTGGGACTCGGCTCCCGCGGCGGCCACGCGCGGGGAGTGCGGGGGGGGCGGGGGAGCCCTGCCCAGCACCGGCAGGACCCGGAGCCCCGCACCGGCGGCGCTGACCCGACACCCCGAGGCTTCCCGTCCTGAGACTGCGGGTCCCGCGCCCAGGGGCGTCCGCTCCCCGGGAGCCCCTGCCCCCCACACTCCAGCCCCACCAGCCTCCGCGCCCCCTCGGGACGCGGCTCCCCGCCGGGCGCGGGGCGCTGGACTCCCGCCGCCGAGCGCGGGGGCGGCCGCAGCGGGCAGGGCGGGCGGGCAGCGCGGGGGGAGCGCCGGGCAGCCTCCGCCCCGGGTGGCACAGCAGGGCCGCCCCCGCCGCCCCCTTCCCGCCACCCGCGGTCCTCGCCCTGCCCTGCGGCCGCCGCGCCCCGACCCCAGCCCGCCCCCACCGAGAGCCCCGAGTGAGCGCCGACCGCGCGGGCACCTCGGCCCCGCCCCGCCCCCATGGCCACGCCCCGCCCCGCATGGCCACGCCCACGCCCCGCTTGACCACGCCTCGCCCCGCGTGGCCCTGGCCCCGCCCCCGCCCGGCCTGACCCCGCCCCAACCCGACCCGTCCCGCCCCTCCCCCGGCCCCGCCCCCGCTCCCACGTCCACCCCACCCTCCCGGGGATCCCGCCCCGCCCCGCCCCACGGGAATCCCGGCCCCCGCCCCCTCGTCCCCCCACCCGCCCTCTCCGCCCCCGGGGATCCCCCCGCCCCGCCCCGCCCCGCGGGGATCCCGGCCCCCCGCCCGGCCGGCGATCCCCAGCCCCCGGCACCCCCCCCGCCTGCGATCCCGAACCCCGCCCGGGGCGGAGGGGGGCTGGGGGAGAGGACGCGCGAGCGGTCGGGTCCGCGGCGCCCACCGGGCCTGGCTCGCTCTGCCGGACCGGCCGGGGCGGGGGGGGGCGGGGGGAGCGGCGGTGGGGTGGGGGGAGCCGGGCCGCGCCGAGGCCCCTCCCGGGGTCCCTCCCGGGGCCAGCCCCGCGCGAGGCGGCGGCGGACGGACTCGGCGACGCCGAGGAAGCGCCACGACCGCGCGAGCCGTGTCCGGACGCGCCCCGCGCAATGTGGGGCTCAGGGGCCGCCCGCCGGCCCCGCCCCCGCCCGCCTCGCCCCGCCCCGCCGGCCCCGCCCGCCGGCCCCGCCCCCGCCCGCCTCGCCCCGCCCCCGCCCCGAGACCGCGCCTCGGCCGGGGACCGGCGCGCACGCACCGCGCGGACACGCGCACGCCGCCGGGCGCGCGCACGCAGGACGCTCCTCGCCGGCGCAGGCGGCAGCGCGGGAGCCGGTCCGCGGCGGGAGGTGCGTCCGGGCCCGGGGGGCGCCCGGGGAGCCCGGGGGGCGCGGCCCCCGCGCGCGGGACGGAGGCCGGAGGCGCCGGGGTGGAGGGGCGGGGGGGTCGGGCGTGCGGCCCCGGGGAGCCCGGCCGGCCGGCGTCGCTGGCGGGGGGGCGGGGCGGGGCGGGTGTGGGGGCGCCGGGTCCCCCGCCCGCCGCCCCGTGACGCGCGCCCCCCCCCCGCAGGATGTCGTACATGCTGCCGCACCTGCACAACGGCTGGCAGGTGGACCAGGCCATCCTGTCGGAGGAGGACCGCGTGGTGGTCATCCGCTTCGGCCACGACTGGGACCCCACGTGCATGAAGATGGACGAGGTGCTCTACAGCATCGCCGAGAAGGTGCCGGGCGGCCGGCCGGGGCGGGGGGGCCGGGCGGGGGGGGGCCGCGGGGACCGCACGTGGGGCCGGGGCGGGGCGGGGGGGGGCGGGGACCGCACCTGGGGCCGGGGGGGGCGGGGGGGGCCGCGGGGACCGCACCTGGGGCCGGGGCCGCGGGGGGGGGGGGGGGGCGGGGCTCAGGAGGACCCCGCGGGCCAGGCCGGCTGTCCGGCGCGTCCTGCGCGCGGCTCTGGCTGCCGCCCCCGAGGTGACCGGGCGGCCCGCGGGCCGGGTGCTGCGGCCGCGGCGCTCGCGGAGGGGCGGTGGGGGGCGCCGCCGCACCCCCGGGCCAGGGCGGGGCGTCCGGGCTCCTCGGCCAGTCTCTGCCCGGGCGGGGAGCTGGGGGCCCCGGGGCCGCGGGCAGCGGGTCTGGGTCTGGCCGTGGCTCGCGCGTCTCGACTCTGCCCCCCTCGCCGTGTGTGCGGTGGCCCCGCGGCCGCCCTCGGGGCGCCCCAGCGCCTCCTGCCCCCGCCGGAGACCCCTGCCCCGCCGGCTGCCCGGTCCAGGGCTCGCCCGGCGCCCCTGCAGCTGTCCTTGTGGGGCCCCGGGCACGGCCGCGGCCTGCGGACTGCTCCCCACTCGCGGCCCCCCCCATCTGCCCGAGCGCACCCCCCACCGCCCGCCGCGACCCGGGGGTCCCCGCCGCTCGCCTGGCCCCCGCCCGCCCGGCGCCTGCTCCTGCTCGGGTTCCTGGCCTGGCGGGCGCCCCGTCGCGCTCCCGAGGCGCCTCCTCCGGGATGCGGCTGCAAGTTCCCGGGGTGTCCATGCCTGTCCCCGAGCTGGGGCGCTGCCCCAGCTGCTCGCAGTGCAGCCTTTGTCCAGTGCTGGGTGGAGCCAGGAGAAGGTTCTCCAGACTGGACCCTCCAGACTGGACTGGTTCTCACCCCGGAGAGAACTGGGCGGGCGCCAGGGTGACTGGGCACGGGTCAGTCAGAGTACGGGGGGCTAGGGTGTCAGAATCTCGGGGCAGTTTAGTGACTCCCAACGTGTCCATTGGCATGAGCGCCTGAGGAGACCCTGGGATGCCTTTAACCCCTTTGTTCCCAGACTTGGGGTTTACCCCGAGGAGAGGCGGGCGTGGGCGCGGTGAGGGCGCGGTGAGGGCGGGGGTGCCGTGAGCTGACGTATCTGTGGGGCTGAAAAGTCAGAAGGAGGGTTGCGAGGAGCAACGGTGTGTCGCCCTGAAAGGCTTCTTTTTGGGGATTGTTAAGATTTATCTAGGAAAGCGCCCCCGAGTCAGGCAGGATGCGAGAGGGAAGGCGACCCGGGCCCGGTGCTGCTGGGGAGGCCAGGCGGGAATGACGGGCGTCTCCCAGGCCCCTCGCAGCTGCTGGCCCGCTCAGCGTCCAGGCGCGTCCCCTGGTGGGTCAGCGCGGCGGCAACACGCCGGGGCTCAGCTTAGAAGCTGTCCCCCGATGCGCGCCCCCAGCGCCTGGGCGCGCAGCACAGAGGGGTCACGGGGTCTTGCTCCGTGTGCTTCGCTCAGGTCAAGAACTTCGCGGTCATTTACCTGGTGGACATCACGGAGGTGCCCGACTTCAACAAGATGTACGAGCTGTACGATCCCTGCACCGTCATGTTCTTCTTCAGGTGCGTCCCCGGGGCCGAGCTGTCAGGGTCAGCGTGAGCCCCGGGCCAGCTCCGCGCCCCCCGCAGCCCCGCCCCCCGAAGGGAAACGCCTTTTCGGCCGGTCGGCCCACCCGGCATGGTCCTGGCCGCTCGAGGGGGCGATGAGAGCCTCTGCCCCGGGGCTGGCATCCTGGGCTGGGGGCGGGTGTGGTGCACTCGCGGGCAGCTGTGGGGAGGCAGCCTAGACTCCGAGACGGGCGCTGGGGTCCGTTAGCGTCACCTCAGTAAGCACCAGCTGGATAATCAGCTTCCCGCTGCGCGGGTCAGCCTTTCTCTGCTTCTGGTGACGCCCCGGGACCCCAGAATGAATCGCTGCACATAAACATGGGGTGACAAGCCTGACAGCCGCTCTCTGTGGCGGGGGCGGGGGGTGCCCTGGTTCCTGCTCGGGCCATGCCCCCATGAGGGAGGGATTGACCAGGCACTGGGGCTGGTTGGTGAGATCACAGCTGACCCAGGCTCCGGGGTGCGGCTCCGTCTGGTTAGCCCCTGCCTCACGTGCGCGTCCCCGAGGCCCAGCCCCACGGGGGCGGCCGGGCAGCCTCGCCTGGGCCCTGGCTCGTGCCCTGCCTAACAGGGCAGCACAGACTCATGGCCATGGTGGCTGAGACGTGGGGGGGACAGGCGGGCCCAAGGGGCGGCCAGCTCTTCCCTGGGCCGTCGGGAAGGCCCTGCTGCTGGGTGCCCTCCCGGAGGCCCCATGCCAGGGGAGGCCTCGGTCAGCCTTCCAGAGCCCACACTGCCTGCAGGCCCTTGGGCAGTTCTGGGGCCCCAGCTGCTCCCGTGCGGCCCCTTTGAGGCATTGGTGGTCTCCAGGCAGCAGAGAAGCTGGGGAGGGGGAGATGGAGTGGGGGGTTCGACCTTGTTTCCTGCAGCTCAGCTCCTGGGGTATCCACCCAGAAGTGAGTTCTATCTGTGATCTCTGTGTCGGGGTCTGTGGCCACCCAGCCCCGGACAGGCGTCCCGTGCCGAGCGCTGGATGCTGCGGGCACCCCGGGTGCAGAGGGTGGTGCGGGGAGCGGCCGGTGTGGAGCAGAGCTGTCCCGTCTGCGTGCTGCTTCTCCCTGCTCGCTGCCTTCCCGGATCAGCGGCCTGAGCCGGGCTCGCTGGGCAGGACCGGGGCCCACATCTGGGGGGGCCTGTGTCGGTGATGCCACGGAGCTCTGGACGGCAGCCCTGGGAGCGCTGCCCCCCCGCCCCGCCGTGGTGGGGCTGCTCCGTGTCCAGCCACGGACATCTGGCGGCCTCGGGCGGCTGAACTCGCCTCCCCTCTGCAGGAACAAGCACATCATGATCGACTTGGGCACCGGCAACAACAACAAGATCAACTGGGCCATGGAGGACAAGCAGGAGATGATCGACATTATCGAGACTGTGTACCGGGGCGCCCGCAAGGGCCGCGGGCTGGTGGTGTCCCCCAAGGACTACTCCACCAAGTACCGGTACTGAGCCCGCGCGGTTGGCCTGGCTGGGTGCTTGTCCTGACACCCCTGTAAATACTCTCAGAAATAAAGGACACCCTGATGGGGCCGCCGCCCATGTGCTGGGGCCTCCTTCCTGCCCCTGGAGGGAGCCAGGCCCTGCCTCGGCCGCTGGGCCAGAGGTCAGTCGTCCATCTCTGAGCCGGCCAGCCCGGGAGGCTGCCGGCACCACCCGTCTGACCAGCTTCCAGAGGCTCCTGCGTGTCAGCGCGCCCGTCCCGCTGCTCCCCCAGCCCCGTGCGCCCGTCGGGGCATCCCCTTTCCGAGATGGTCACGGCCGAGGCCAGCACCTTAACAGCCCATGCCAGAGAGGTGGCCCTGGGCGCCGGCCCCACGTGGCTCGGCCTGCAAAGGGCCCAGACCTGGGTGCCGCGGGACGCACACTTGGGGCTCCTGGCTCCAGCAGGCCGGGCAGCGGTTGTGGGGCTTTTCCAGGATATTGCGGGGATGAGGGCGACCCCCTGGCCCGCCTCCGGGGCCTCTGCGGGGGAGGCGTGGAGGAGCCCTCTCCTCCCCTCCTGGGACTGTCTCGAGTACTTGGGTCTCCCGGCCTGGGCCTTCTGCCCTCGGCGGGATGGGTGGTTCCTCCTGGGCCAGTCAGCGCACAGACCGGACGGGGCGGGCCTGGGTGGCGGCTGGGGCAGGGCGCAGCAGGGGTCCCTGCTGGCTGGGAGCCCCGGCCTGCTCCCGGGCGGGTGTCCACTGCAGCAGGAGGAGAAGCGCCGCTCCTGGGGCAAGCAGGCTCGGGCCTCAGTAAGACTGACCGTCTGGGCGGCATCCTTGCTGGGAGCGGGCCGCGGGCAGGCAGACGCCCAGCTGCGGTGCGGGTGCCGGCGGCCCCCGGGACGGGTCCTGGGTCCGGACAGGAGGGGAAGCTGTGCTGCAAGGCCTGGGCGGGGGTGGGGCCCGGGGCTGCCCTGCGCAGGCCGAGCGTGGGGGGGCGAGGGAGCCTGAGCGGAGGCGCCCGGCGTGTGTGCGGTGGCGCTTTCTTCTCTCGCCCCGTGTTTCCACGTGCCGCGCCCGCGACGCAGTTGAACTTCTGGCGCTTCTCTCCGTGCCGGGTGTTCGCTCACTCCCGGGCCACGTGCCTCCCGAGCCGTCCTCGGCTTCCCTGGCCGCCAGCGCCGGGTGCGGGAGGCGGGAGGCAGGTGGCGGGCCGGGGCGGGGCGGCGTGACTCCTGTCCCGGAACCTGCTGAGCACCCCAAGCCCCGCCCGCCCTGTTGCCTTCGCCAGTTGCTCTGACCCAGGTGAGCCCACAGAGAGGCCGACCCCGCCTCCAGGCGCAGCTTCCCGACCTTCCTGGCGGCTTCCGGGAACGGGCCCGTCGGGGCAGCTGACGGACAGGCCTGAGGGACCCTGCGCCGGAGGCCGCCGTGCCGGCCGAGAGGAGAAGGGAGTCCCGGGGAGACGGGTCAGTGCTGAGCGGCGCGTGACTCGGTACCGCGGACGCCTGGGCAGGCGGCGGGGCCTGTGAGGGGCCCCGAGGGGTCAGGGGGCGCCCTGGACACACATTTCCAGGCGCCGAGTGACCCATGTGTCTGGAAGCGACTGCCTTTTCTCAGCCCTGAGCCCAGACCAGGGAGGAGCTGGGGCATCTACCATCCACACCGACCCGCAAACCTGCCCAGCCCAGGCTTCCAGAACCCCACCAGAGTTCACCTGCTCCGGTAGCTCAGGCAAATGCAGGGCGTGTTCCTGGCCTCGCCGGGCCTGCAGGACAATGACCACGGGGCCTCTGGGGGGCTGCCTCTCTCCCCAGAAGCTGAGAGGGACGCCTGCGGCCAGCAGACACGGCCCAGCCCGGCACCCGACTGGCCCCACACCAGGGCACCCAGCGGAGAGCCCAGGGTGCTTTGAACCTCTTAAATCCATTCAAGACAAGGAGTAGCTCCAGGGCCCCAGTGCCCTCGCTGGCACCCGAGGCTGGGCAGTCAGGCTGGCTGCAGCCTCAGGGGTGACGGTCACCTGCAGTGAAGTGACCAGGGCGGCAGCTGGGGTCGGGCCGGGCAGCCTCGGGACTGGGGCACAGGCACTGGCATTGGGACCTGGCTGGGGTGTGACCCAGGCTGTAGTTCTGAAAGGACCCCGCTCGCCCAGCATGGGGGGCCCGGGGAACCCCCCTCGCCCAGCATGGGGGTCCGAGTGGAGATTTTCAGCGACTGGCAAAGGTCTGTGGTGACAGATGAGGCTTGGGAGCTTCATACAGAAGGGGGTCGGGTTTCACGCCCAGTTGCCCCCCTCGCTGGGCTTTGTGTTCCCCCAAGTGTTGGGGGCACTGCGGGTCACACACAGGTGGCGTGGTCTTTGGTCCTGCGTCAACCCCAAGTGTGTCCGTGAGAGAACTGCCTGCTGGCCGCCTGCTGACCCAGCCCAGGGGTGAGAGAGTTTCGGGGCGTGGACACCTGCTTGTGGGGGGTTCTGGTTTCTTCTGAGTGTGTCACAGGTGGTGGAAAACAGCAGCCGCTCATAGACGTCGCGGACGGTTGAAAGAGGAATCGAATTCACAAGAGGCCGAAAAATCTCCTGCGAGGCCGATGTGGCAGGGTCAGCTCGGGCCTCCCTGAGAGGAGGCAGCATGTGTGGCCGCACCGAGGCTCCTGTTGCAGTCAGCGGTTGGTTGAAGCTTTCTGGTCTATCCGGTTTCTTGAAGGTGCTGGATTTTGGGGGCCTGCCTGTTGGCCTAGGGGTTAAAGCCTCAGTGCTATTACCAGGATGGTCTGAGTCCAATCCCCGGCCAGGGAGCTACGCACAGGGCACCCCAGGCCCCTCCTGTCTCCCCGCTGCTCCCCTCAGCAGTGGATTTCAGTGGATCTGCCTGTTCTGCTCCCCACTCAGTCTCTGGGGAGTCCTCTCACCCCTGCGCCTTAGGCCTGCACCCCAGTTCTATGCATAAATAAATAAATCTTTTTAAAAATACTGGATTTTAAACTGTGTGTCATTGGTTAAGGACACGTCTGGTCACCTGTGTCCAGACGTCTGCCTGGTCCCATCAGAGCCGTGGCCATGGCCGTAGCTAAGCCCTTTGAGGTCTCCCGGTCAGAGGATGCCATCGTGATTTTAGCCCCAGGTGTACTGAACTTAAATTGTGCCATGTAATCTACTTAAGTAATTTTAAAAGTTTGAATTAAACGTGCATCATCGTGACCAAAAGTAAAGTGCCGCCTCCTTCCTGGGTGACACCCCTGGCCTGCTGCTGCCCTTGCGGCAAGCAGACCGGGCAGCTCCAGGGGCAGCGGGAAGGCGGGCGTGGCCTCCATGCCGGGGGCAGCTGGTCCACCCAGGCGGAGGCTCCCAGCCGGCCCTGGGCCGTGGGAGCCAGGACCGTCATCTCCAAGGATAAGGCATGGGCGACTGTCCCTGGAGAGCAGGGTGTGCGGGGTGCACAGGAGTGGGGTTCTGTGATGCGCATCCAAGGCGGCCCCAGTGGGTTCAGGGCTGCGGTTCTTCAGCAGGAGGGACTCCGGCTGTGGGCCCTGCAGGCCAGGCCCGCTGTGGTCGCGTGTCGGGCAGTGGTCGAACTGCAGCCTGGCGTGGATGGCCTGTGGGCCGGCCTTTGCTCTTTTATTTTACTAAAATGCATTTTTAAATTAAATGCTAAAAATCGGAACTCGTGTAGGTTATCCCTCAAGAACTGCAGTTGTCGTTTTCACCACATTTGCAGCGCCTGGCTGCGTGTCCTCGGGCGTCAGGAGGAGCCTGGACAGAGACATTGGTCACTCAGATGCTGGTCAGTGCAGTTAAATAAGCCCAAACCCAGAATGCTCAGCAGAGCCTTTCCTTGACTATCACGGCATGGCTGTCCAGAAACCTCGGTGAAGGGACGCCCGGTGTGGGCAGCTGGCGGGCCGCGGGCTCTGCAGGTGAGCAGGGCACAGAGCACCCTGATGTGGGGCCCAGCTGTTCCCACCTGCCCAGGCAAGTCAGGGTGCAGAGGAGCCGAGGCAGCCCTACCCCCAGCAGGCATCCTCGGCAGGTGCGCACCCCCGGTTGTCATCTAAGAGGGTCAGTGACATCCTTCCGTCCGTGGGAACTTCCAGCACCTGCCCTTCTGCCCCTGCCTGCAGCGGCCCCTCCCTCCTGGCTGTGCCTGAGGGGACACTAATTTGAGGGGTGAGGGTGGAAAGTGTTTTAATAAAATCCAGAGTTTCACTAGTGGCGTTTCCCACGGTGTTCGTGCACATCTACGGGGTCCCGGCAGAGCGTGTGTGTGGGCGTCCAAGAAGCCCCAGAGAACAAAGTAGTACCTGGGGTGTCAGGACGGGTCAGGAGGGGAGTTGCTCTCAGCCTCCTGCGGGCGGCACCCCGGGTCCCCCGCACAGCCCGCGGCCCCCGCCTGCACCATCAGGTGGTCCACGTCCTTCTGCATGTCCCGGATGCGGGTTCCCATCTCTGCCAGTGCGGGGTTAAGGAGGGTGGCCGGGAAGTCTGCAGGAAGCCCGCAGGGCGCACAACGGGGCGCAGCCTTCATGGGAGGCCTTGGCCTGGGGCTCGCCTCGACCTGTGTGCTGTGAGCTCAGTTCTGGGCACTGGCCCTTGATGGACATGGCCCCGGAAGCAAGGCTGTTGCTCTCTGCGCCCAGGCTGCGGACAGAACAGCCAGGAGCTGCCTTCCTGCAGCTCAGCGAGGCCGTGCTCAGGAGACGCCAGACCCGCAGGCCTGCGGCCGCCCCTGCACACACAGGCCGACGGCCTGTCCGCACTGCTCAGCCGTGTGAGCTCCCGGCTGCGCCAGGCAGCAGGCCGAGGTGGGGCGTGGGTGGCACGCCCTGGGGGAGCCCTTTGGGCAGGGCTGGCAGGCCCCTGGCTGTGGGGTGCGGGGGGGTTGCAGCCATGGAGAGTGGCGGGGAGCGTGCGCACTGGCAGGCCACCCGCGGCGCTGGCGGGAGCAGGCGGCAAGGAGGCCGTGTGGCCGGCAGCCGCCCGAGCCAGCTGGCGTTTGTTCTCAGAGAGCAAAGGATATTTCTGAGGTTCAGTGTTGCAGTCAGAGCCTGAAAATGTTCTTGAAGTTCCTGAAACAAGCTTTCGGTCTGGAGAAATGAGCCACGGCAGGTGTGGTTACAGGGTGCGCCGGGCAGGGTGTC